CACTTAATTGTACTTTAATTCTATTTAATTTTAAGTTTTACTTAGTTTTGCTGAATTTTACTTTCACAGATGAAAAAAACTGAATTACAACAGAAGAAATTATTAAGCTTCAAGTAAATATTTCTTCACTATCGGAAATATTATTTCCTAACAGATCCTGTTAAGGTTTTTAAAAATTAATGAAATCATTAAAAGAATAAAGTAATTATATTTTTAAATTACGTTTTAATTTTAGATGTGTCAATTAACTAAGAAAGAGCAACACATTGAAACATTAGCCCTTTTTTCTTTCTTTCCTCCCTCATGTAATTTTTCTTAGGATTATTATTGTTTTTACATTAGCAAGTTTTAAAATTCATATTCATTCTGTTACTACTATAATCTCCAAAGATTTTTATACTTACTTGGATTTTTCTCACCACTTGTATCACAGCATCTCTGTTCCTGGGTTCTTTGTTTGATTCAACTCATAATTGTCTTGATGTCACTTTTTAAGTTATTTGGTTTTGATGGATACGGTATTCCCTGAGATCTTTTATATTTGAAATGTGTGCTGGTCGCCTTTATACTTGCAAAATACCATAGCTCTGCATAATATCCTTGTGTCAACCTTTCCTTCTCTTAGGACTGTGTAAACATTGATTGACTGTTTGCCGTTGAATGGTGCTATGAAGAAATCTGAAGGCAATCTAATTTCCTCTCTTGTTTTGAATTTGTATTTTCTGTTTGTATTATTTCTTTATTCTTAAATTCAAATAGCTTAGTTAATTAAAGTTTCTAGACAATGAGCATTCTGCATCAAGTTATCTTGGAGCACAAATTGCTCTTTCAATGTGTAAATTCAATTTTTTCTCAATTTAGTAAAATTTCCTTATATTATGTCTTAAATATATCTTCTGTCTCATTTGTTGGGTTCTCTATTTTAATGATACTAATTATTCTTATGTTGTATCATCCTATTCTTTTATAACTATTAGCTTCTCTCTAAATAACTTCATCTCTTCACTTCTTTAATTGGTATATACTTTATTTTAAGCTTTTCTTCCATGTCATTAACTTTATTTTTAGAAGTATCTATTCTGTTTCTTACAGTTTATAATTTATTTTTAGTTTCATGATGATATAATTTGGTTCTCAATTTGTTTCTTTAGGTTTGTGATCGCCTAAGAGTGTGAGAAAATTCTTTATGTTCCTTAATTTTGTCTTCTTCTATATATTACTTTTAATATATATATTTCTCTCTCTTTTTCTATCCTTTTCCTCCTCTTTCTACAGGGCTGCTTTATTATTATTATTATTATTATTCATTCTCATACTTGCATAACTCTCTTCCTAGTGTTTTATTTGCTAATAGAATGTAGATGAAATCTTGACTCTTCCCAATCTAAGACTTGTTTGATTTCTAAACTCTGGACATCAGTTTGAAGCCAATGTATTTCATTCTATCTACTCTTTAGTACCCTGAGAAATAATGGAGCAGGGGAGGGAATTTAGCTGAAGAGATGGCAATCTTTGTTTGAATACTTGGGCTCTGCCCTTTCTTTCAGGATTCTGTTAAATTCTCATTTTAGAATCCACTCCACCTAGTTGGAGGTATATCTCTTTCCCATGGGGAAATAACTTTCAGGCTTTGTATAATTTCCCCTACTGTAGTCCCCGAATCTCTACCTCTTTAGAGGTACAAGCCCTTCTTCCCTCATTTCTCCATAACAGTCGTGTCTCCTATTCTGGTCAGAACAAGGAAAAAATGAGCATTTTAATTCAGTTTGTTTCTTTCTAGATTTTAAAATACAAATGAGAAATATCAGGATTGTCTTGAGTTGACAGTAGGACTTCTAAAGAACTCGTGGTTAGGGTTAGGAGCTGAGTCATATTGCCTCTCTTCTCCACTCCATAATCCTCATATTTTCTTCGAACCAGGTTTTGAAGTTTACTGAATTATATTATGCTACTGAGGTTGCTGACAGTGACTTGTAGGGGAGGGCTGGTCTTTCATTTTTCCAACATTGTACCTATTATGGGAGAACAATTTGGTGCAACCTTAATGAAGTTTAATAGCACTCCCTGTTCAAAGTCCTCCAAGTCCTGGGCTCGTATTGTCTTCTTAACCAACAGTGATGCAAGACCAAGACATTTCATTCTGTCACTGGTTAAACTCTGAGTTTGTGATAGGGTGTTAAAACTATCCATTGTGGTATGAAGAAGGACCACCGTGCCTTTAATGTGCCCCCCAAACATATCTTGCTGTTTAAGGAGGGAGTTACTACTTTAACCCTTCATATCTGTCACTAAAGACTTATCTCTTTATTGTATAGGCTTTCCAGACATCAATATTCTAATTAGAAAACAGTAGCTAATCTGGCCAAATGCTAATAAGTGAGAGTTGTGATTTATCTAGCAATAGAGGAACAACTCAGCATTAACAATTAAAAGGTTTGTAGAAGAGATAGCTTTTTTTTCACTCTTCCCTTTAGCTGATCAGGTTCAACCATAAGCTATAAATAGCCCTTCTAATTAAGGCTATCTGTTTGAAAATCATTAATCAGAACAATTTAGAAACTTTTACCTCAGATATTCATAGGCCCTATTCTTCTTCTCAATGATAAAAGTAAGGAAATGTTAATGTGAGTTAAACTTCAATCTACCTCTCTGAAAAGACCAAACCACATCATAGCCTAGCATAGCCTAGCAAGGCTTCAGTATAATAGATGCAGATTTTAAAATAATCAATTTAACTGCAATGAGAAATATCATCATGAATAGAGCCAAAATGGTTGGCTAACCCCTGCTGCATATCCATCATTCATGAAGTTACAGGATAAAGTCAAAATTTACATCAAAAGCACGAGTTTGCAATTAGTTAATCTTCAAAGAATTACTATTTTTCTACCTTAAGCAAATTAACTGAGTACTTACCTTCATTTTAACCTGACTAGTCAGAGTCAAAGGGGAAAAATAACATGTCTAAATCAAACTGAATGATGATAAATAATATGTCTAAATCAAACTGAATGATGATCTTCTAGAGAATACTCTCAAGAAGGGTCCTCTTTGGGAAATGCCACTCGGTGTTAGAATAAATGTCATATTTCATTGGAGGGTCTGTCATTCAATGTAGAAGGTGCTTGCACATCTTAAGTGTTTACTTCTAGTATATTCTCTTTATTCAATATTGCCTACTTGCATGATATCCAGGCAGAGGTCCTTGCAGGTCCCTGAAACTGCCATATTGTTTCATGAAACCAAGCATTTTTCAAACTGTTTTTACTATGTAAATGGCCTTTTCTGGCCCCCAGCTCCTTGAAAACCTAATTTCATCTCATTTCCTCTATACAGCCTACTACTACCACCATCACCCTGAAGCCTAATAAAACTGATTACTCCCTCCTTTTGGCCCCAACTCCACCTGTACATCTTTCTCCCTTAATATCAAAACATTTACTTCCTCTTGATTGGTTTCTTATCTATCTTTCCCCAGGGAGAAGGTCTTCTTCTTATTCAGTTGTAGAATGCCTATATGCTTATTGAATATACAAGTGATTATTCAACAATTCTTTTCAATACTTGCTAGAAGTCGGAAAGACATACATTTGTATCTCTGTCCTCAATTAACTCATGACCCAGTGGGAAAGATAGACACCTATGCAGCTAAACTCAGCAAACCTAAGAGAGGTGTTTAGGCAAGTGCTGATGCTGAGCTGTTAGTGGGCAAGACAGTGAACACATAAAAACTCACCATGTTTTAATATCTCTTTTATGATTTTCATAATCCAAACACACCTACTTCAGTCACATGTTTCACTTTGCTTACTGTCTTCCCAGAATAGTCTAAACCTATGCTTCTCAAACTAATGTGCACACAAATTACATGGGATTTTGTTAAAATGCAAACTCTGATTCAGCAAGTCTGGGGAGGGGCCTGAGATTCTGGATTTCCAACGAGTTCCCAGGGGATGCCACTGCTGCTGGTCCAGAGCCCACATTTTGAGGAGCAAGGCTCTAAACAATTTTCATGTTAATACTGTTGAAGTAACACCAATTTTTGGAAAAACTCCCACTGCTCCCCACCTAGACATTCTTCTGACTATAATTAAATATGATTTAAGTTATACCAAGAGAAATAAGCAGTACTCCTCCAAGAAAACTGGCAAAATGCCTCAAAACTATTAACTCCCAGCCTTTGTTTTATTGTCTAAATACAAAAGGTCTTCGTTCCTGCATTTGAGGTCAGCTACCAGATGACTGTGGTCTAAATGTGCAGCAAGGTTTTCCCAAATATCCAAGATTGTTATTATTTGCTTAAGTTTTCTACATATTTAAACTATAAGACCCCAGGTCCTTTATTTAAATGGAAATACCTTTTAACAAAATCATAAATCTTTAATCACTTTAATCATAAATAAAATACTTCTTTAATAAAACTTTTTAAAACAAATTCTATAAGTTACCCATGGAAATCTAGCTTCTTATTAACTCTAATGGTTCCTATGACAGCATCTATTTACTTATTAGTGTCTGCCACTCATCATCAAAGACAAAACACCTTAGACCATGAGACTTTGGGCCTCCACTCTACCAATATATCTTTTGTCATTTGTCAGTTTTTAATTTTCCTTCTACCACAAGATTAAGCTGTCTTCTTCTATAAGTCTTCTTCCTCTGTTCCTCACATCATTCTCCAGTACTATTTCAATGAAACCAACTGTCCTATGTGTGTCTTCTCCTAAGCATGTGGTGAAGACATTACACATCTTTCTATCTGCTATTCAACACCACCTTACTACAATGATATGCTATTTAAGAGGCAGTTTGGTTCTTTGGTTTCCCCTTTCACACATAGTTATTGCATCACTTTCTCTGACCACACATCAATAAATTAAACAGTAGTGAACTATTTTCCTCGTGTAGGATGTATGAAGCTACTAGAAGCCTTTGCTTGCCCAATGTCAGAGTCTGGAGAGGACTCTTCTAAATGGTCTTTCTTCTTTCTCACCATGTAGGTTAATTCCAAAGATGATGAAGGTGTCCTCGTTGGATCTTGGGACAATATCTATGCCTATGGTGTCCCTCCATCAGCCTGGACTGGAAGCATTGACATTCTGTTGGAATACCAGAGTTCTCAGAACCCAGTCCGGTATGGACAGTGCTGGGTTTTTGCTGGTGTCTTTAACACATGTAAGTATCCAACTGAGTAATATTTTTTCTTTAATAATTTTTTATTTTTTAATTACAGTTGACATATGATATTATATTAGTTTCAGGTGTATAACATAGCGCTTAGACATTTATATGACTTATAAAGTGGTCACCCCAATAAGCACCCATCTGACACCATACATAGTTATTACAATATTATTGACTAAATTCCCTATGCTATATTTCACATCTCTAAGACTATTTTGTAAACTATAATTTGCACTTCTTAGTCCGTTTCCCTCTGCTACTTTTTCACCTATCCCCCAAACTGCCCTCCCATCTGGCAACCACCAAAATGTTCTCTGTATCAATGAATTTGTTTCTGTTTTGTTTGTTCTTTTGCCTTTAGATTACACGTATAAGTGAAATCATATGGTATTTTTTTTTGGTCTGACTTATTTCACAGCATAATACCTTCTAGGTCCATCTATGTTATTGCAGATGAAAAGATTTCATTCTTTTTTATAACTGAGTAATGTTCCACTGTGTGCATGTACCATTTCTTCTTTATCCCTTTCTCTATTGATAGACATTTAAGTTGCTTACAGACTGTGGTTATTGTAAATAATTCTTCAAAGAACATATTGATGCATATGTTCTTTTTGAATTATGTCTTTTTGAATTAGTGTTTTAAGTTTCTTTACCTAGAAGTGGGATTATTAGATTCTTCTTTCTCTCTCCTTATAGCCTTTGTTTTAAAGTCTATTTTGTCTGGTGTAAGTATTGCTAAACAACCTTTTTGTGTTTGTTTCCATTTTCATGAAATATCTTTTTCTATCCCTTTACTTTCAGTCTGTGTATGTCTTTTAATCTAAAATGAGTCTCTTACAGGCAGCATATGAAAAAGTCTTGTTGTCTTATTCATTCAGCCACCCTATGTCTTTTCATTGGAGCATTAATCCATTTTCACTTAGAGTAGTTGAGACAGATTTGTTATTGCCATTTTATTATTTATATTTTTTACTTTTTTTTCTTCTTTTTCTTAAAGAAATCCCTTTGATGTACTTTAGCTTTTTCCTGTCTGAGAAGCTCTTTATCTTTTCTTCAATTCTAAATGATAGCTTTGCTAGGTAGGATAATCTTGATTGCTTTTTGTCATTTTGAGTATTTCATGCCAATCACTTTGGCCTGCAAAGTTTCTGTTGAGAAATCAGCTGATGATCTTATGGGAGCTCCCTTGTAGGTAACTAACTACATTTTTCTTGCTTTTAAGATTCTCTCTTTGTCTTTGACCTTTGGCATTTTAATTATGATGTGTCTTGGTTTGGTCCTCTTTTGGTTCGTCTTGTTTGGAATTCTCTGTGCTTCCTGGGCTTGTATGTCTATTTCCTTCACCAGGTTAGGGAAGTTTTTTATTATTATTTCTTCAAATAGGTTTTCAATCCCTTGGTCTCTCTCTTCTCCTTCTGGTACCCTATATGATGTGAATGTCGGTAAACTTAATGTTGTTTCAGAGACCCTTTAAATTATCCTAAATTTTTTTGGGGGGGAGGGGATTCCTTTTTCTTGTTGCTGTTCCGATTTGGTGTTTTCTGCTGCTTTATCTTCTATATTTTAAATGTAATCCTTTACTTCCTCTAATCTACTATTAATTCTCTCTCATGTATTCTTCATTTCAGTTATTATATTTTTTATTTCTGACTGGTTCTTTTTTTATGTTTTCTATCTCCATTTTTAGATTTTCTCTTTGTTGAATTCTCACTGACATCATTAAGCATCCTTATAACTGGTGTTTTGAACTCTGCATCTGGTAAATTGCTTGTCTCCATTTCGTTTAGTGCTTTTTCAGAAGTGTTGCTATGGTTTTTCATTTGGGACATGTTTCTTTGTTTCCCCATTTGGGCTGCCTCCCTGTGTCGATGTCTGTTTCTATGTATTAGGTAGAGCTGCTACGTGTCCCAGTCTTGGTAGAGTGGCCTATATAGTAGGTGACCTATAGAGCCCAGTGGCATAGTCTTTTAGGTCACCTGGACCGGTTGCTCCCAGTATGTCCCTTTTGTGGGTTATATGTGTCCTCTGTTTTAACTGAGCTTTAGGTGCTGTTGGCACATCAGTGGGAGAGACTTACCCTCAGGCTGATTGGCTGTGAGGACTGGCTGTGACTACACAGAGGAGTTTTGTGCAGGGGCTGACCCTATGGACCAGGATTTGCTTTAGTGGTCCTCTGGTGCCTGCTGAGTTTGCCCCTTGGGTATGTCATTTGTGGAGGTGGTTGCAGTTGGGGGGTGCTCTGGTGTAATTTGAAGCTGGTCACTGGGTGTGTTGGTTCTAGGGCCTCTATGGAAGAGGCTCTGGTGCAGATCAAGTTCAATGATTGCCGATGTCCTGCCCAGGGCCACATGGTATGAGCTACAAAGTGATCTGCAGATACTGCCATTTGTACTGGGCTTGGAGGTGTCTGGGAGAGGCTAAGCTATGAATTAAGGTTGGTTGCCACTAGTGCTGGGGTTGGAGCTGCTCAGAAAGAGGTACAGAGCATGCCAAGGCCAGATGATGTTTGTTTGGGGTTTGTGAACCTTTGAGATATTTTAGGAAAGTCCACAGCATGAGCCAAGATAGGCTGTTTATATGGAAAATCCACTGGAAGTGGTTGGGTGGGCCCAAAAGTTGGGTGAGGTAGGGCCTCAGAGAAATCACCAGGGCTGGGTGAATGGTTTCAGCCAAGTTGATGGATACTCAGATTTGGTGCCTACCTGTATGTGCATGTTGGGTGAGGGATCGGCTCAACAAGGAAACATGGTGTCTGCCGGCACTTCTTTCTGGAGGAAAGCTGCCCCGTCAGCCCTCACCCTGAAGCCAGATAATTTAGTTACTTTCTGTACATCTCTGGTATTTTTAAAGCTGCTGTCCCAGTGCTGGAGTTTAGAGTGAGTGAGTCTGTCAGCGAGTGAGTCCATGTGTGGCCCATTTAAGAGGAGCACCTGGACTACAGGCAAACTCTGTCTCACTCAGCCATAATCTTTGCTAGTTTTCACAGCCAGAAATGTGGGGACTTCTCTCCCTGGCACTGGAACCCAGAGGAAAACTCCACAGCCAAGATATCCCTCCTAATTTTTAACTGCTGCACGTGGATGTGGGACCAGCTAGTTCAGATTCCCTGTCCCTCCTACCAGTCCTGACATGGATTCTTCTGGGAGGAAGCAAGCACAGTCTCTTGACTGTAAGCCTGAGTAATATTTTTTTAATGTAAAGGAAATTTCCCTTCACTAGATTTTATATATAACCTGGCAAAGAGACCTAGCAATTCCTATTGGCTCTATAGAATTTATGAGTGGCTATTCTGGGATGTAGTCAATGCAAAATTAAATTGTTCTAGGCCTAATATGTTCATAGTTTTTCTTTGACTGCAGAAACTTTGGAGAAAGAATGATGAACTACTTCCTGCATAATTCATCATTCTACATTCAGAGAAATGAGGGGTCTCATGGGCCAAGTAAGGATTTGGGGGAAAGAATATAGCATTTTGTTTTTAGTAATCTCCCACATTTTAAAAAGCTTAAATTAGCCAAATTTAAAATAATAAATAATAAAAAAGATGTATGCTGCTTGTTTGTCATTGAGAAGTTTTATAAATATGCTAATTTACTTATTGTTTATCACATTTTGTTAATATACCCACTTAATGTTTATCCTAGCAATGAAAGGGATTATGGCATGTGGTCTTACCTCAATTATTTTTTATCTCTATTTTTATATATGAGTCCCAATGCCCCTGAGCATTTAGATATCAGAACATAATGAACAATTTTTACTCCTCAGTTGCCCTTCTGATTTCCAATCTACCCAACATCCAATTCATAAAGGAAAACATATAAGATCAAAATTATTTTCTTCAGCCTCATGCAACATTTTTTGATATGGCATTTGCTTATCTAGGCCCAGACAGTGTTATTGTTAATTCAGTGAATATTTAAAAACATAAATTTATTTCAATATGTCTTCATCATTGATAATGACTTTTATTCACCTGCCATTTCTACAACTTTGGAGAAAACATTAAGCTCAAGTTGAAGAGCCCTTTCTGCTTGCTTATTAATAAAGATTGATTTACCTAGTTAGCATTTTTTTTTTATCAGAAAAATCAAGAAGGGACTGGAGGCTAGAAGCTGGGGTAGAGCCATTTTTTCATAAATGGTTATGAAGCCTATCAGTTTCAGCTCAAAGTTGTAACATTATAAGAATTAGTCATTGATTCAAGTGGGGAGAAATCATAAGTTTTGTTTCGTCATGGCATCAAACTGAATACAATCATTTTCTTAGCCACTAGTATATTCAAGGACTAAAGGAATATATATTTCTTTTTCGTCATTCTAAAAATATTTATTTCTACCACTTGCCACCCTTAATAAATTGTATGGCTTTTTATTTCTATTTTTTCCAACTTTATTGAAATATAATAAACAATTAGTTGCTCATATTTACATCATATAATTCAATGGTTTTTTTTTCAATTATAGTTGGCATACAATAATATACCAGTTTCAATTGTATAGCATAGTGATAAGAGATCCACATAACTCGCAAAGTGATCACCCCACTAAATCTAGTGCCCCTCTTCCCCCTTATATTTATTACATTATTAACCATCTTCCTCATGCTATACTTTACATCTCCATGTCTATTCTGCAACTATCCACTTGTACCTCTTAATTCCTTTGCCTTTTTTTAACCTCCCAAACCCCCTCTCATCTAGTATTCTTCTAAATATTCTCTGTATCTATGAGTTTATTTCTGCTTTTGTTGCTATTGTTGATTCTGTTCTTTAGATTCCACATGTATGTGAAATCATGCAATATTTGTCTTTCTCTATCCGACCCATTTCATTCAGTGCAATACCC